GTAATGACTTTTCCACAAATCCATTTAAATTTGGGTTTTTGTTTTGGTTTGCTTTGCTTTGCTTTTTTGGTGCTGGGGATGGACCCCAGGGTCTTGAGCTACATCCACAGTCCTTGGTTTTTGAGACAGGGTCTCACTAGGTAGCCCAAGCTAGTCTTGAACTCTCTATGTAGCTTAGGTTGGCCTTAAACTTGAGATTCTCCTGCCTCCCTGATTTCTGGGATTACATGTATGCGTTCCCACACACAGCTAATCACACACTGCTTAAGGAAGCTAAGCACTAAGTGTATATATCAATGTCCCAATAGACCAAGCCCATTGTATTGTCCACCATTACATTCCCAGTAGATGATCAATAAATATTTGTTGAATAAAGTACTAATAGATTATGCATTCCTGAAGAGCAAAGCCTGTATCATTGTCGTCTTTGTTTCTTTAGCACCTGACCGAGGGCTGGGAATAAGTTCCTCAGAAAGTGGTTCTTGATTAAAGTGGTTTAATTAATTAACAACCAGAAGTGCTTCCTCATAACTGCATTTTTCCAACATTACTTCAAAGACACAAACTGGCGTGTTTTTCATACAAATGCAAAAGAGGCTTAGCTTTTTCTACTGCTTTTAGAAAAGTACACAATTATACTCTACACAATTATACTGATCAGATGGAGTTCCAAAGGTAATATTCTGATTTATGTGAAAATGTGTGTGGGTGAAGGGGAGCATTTTCTAAACTGCTTCTCTAAGATATATATGGATACTAATGAATTTAGAACTTTTTTTTTTTTTTGGTGGTACTGGGGTTTGAACTCAGGGATCCATGCTTGCTAGACAGACAGGAATTCTACCACATGAGTCCCTCTTCCAGCCCATGAATCTAGATCATAATTAAGTATTTCTCAAGCAGAGCACCATTAAATAGTAGGCAGTGCCCTTTTTCTTCATTCCACCTGTGTTAATCTAATTACTTGTATTTGTGTTTTGGCTAAAGTGTGTACTTGTTCTTTTAAAAAATATATTAGTGTTGTACTGGGGGTACATTGTAACATTTACAAAAGTTCTTAGAATATAGTTGAATTTACCCCTCCATCAAAGTGTGTACTTCTTGAGAGAAGGGCCTAGTCTAACTTATCTTTATAGCCACAGAATTTCACTAGCACAGTAAGCCCACCTTATTTGTGGATCTATTACACATAGTTTTGACACAGCATGGTCAAAATAAATAAAACAATTTTTAAAAAATCAAAAGAAGTTTTAGCCACAAAAATTTCAAATGCTCACATGTACATGCTGCAGTTCAGTTGACATAGAGAAGCTTTAGCTGTGTTATCCTCAGTTGTGTTTAAATAACTGTGTGATCTGCTGAATACTTCTCTGCCCTTCATTTTGCAAAAATCTGCCTCCCAAAAAGCAAGTGGTTCCCAAAAAGCAAGGTCAAAGTTAATGTGCTTAATTTAAGTAAAAATTATAGATCTGTTGAAAGGTGGCATGTCTTTACCGAGTGTTTTCTCTCAGTGGTGGTCTCCTTGGAACCATATACCAGTGGATATCAAGAATCTATCCTAGAAGATTTGTTGACTTTTCAGGAGCAATGAGCCAAAAGAGAGAAATGAATTCTGGAAAATGCATAGGGTAAATGAAAATGCAGTTAAAAACTTCTTAGACACCCTTTATGAAAGATCATGTTCCAAGTATCATGTTAGGTGTTTACATATATTTGATTAAATTTCAATCTAAAAAATTCTTATGTACTGTTCCAATTTTAGTACACGTGCTACTGATGTAAGCACCCTAAAAATTCTTCCATAAGCCTGGAGCTATTATGTTCACCTTATGTATAAAGAAACTAAAAATCACAACTAATAAGAAATTCATTCAGCCAGGTGCCAGTGGTTCACGCCTGTAATCCTAGCTTTTAAGGAGGCAGAAATCAGGAGAATCATGGTTCAAACCCAGTCCAGGCAAATAGTTCACAAGACCCTATCTTGAAAAAAACCCATCACAGAAAAGGGCTGGTAGAGTGGCTCAAGGTGTAGGTATGAGTTCAAGCCCCATTACCACAAAAAGAAAAAAAAACTTTAGGTTGGCACAGTGAACAGATTAGCAGAGCTAAGGTGAGCACCTTAGCCTCACTGTAACACTAGGAACTGTTGCTTTTTCAAGTGTATATTGGAGAGATGGAAGAAGATTGTTGGGGTTCCTGTAATCAGCAGCTATGTGGTACTTCTGAGGACTAAAGATTGACTTTCAAAATAATATGGGAGTACACGTGTATAGCAGACAAGAGATACAGAGGTGTTTCCTATAATTATACCTTTTGAGTTATGCTCCTTTTTTCTGTTCAGTTTTGCATTTATGGGAACAATTTTACATTGATGATGTCTAGGCTTCATCTCCACTTTGCCCGAAGTTGATAATACTACACTTACATTATAATTACAGTTGTTATCTGGGATGGCACAAGTGGGCTTTAACATGTCATCTGCCCTACCTGTAGGCATACAAGCAGTTTGTGCTCAGCTATTCAATGGAAACTTACTAGTCCAGATGTATATAACCTCACCTGTGACAATCCAGACAATCACATGCAACAATTATTCTCCAGTTTTTCGTGTTTTTTACTTTTTTGTTTGTTTGCTAGGGTTAGAACTCCAGGCTTTGTGAGCTTGCAAGGCAGGTGCTCAGCCCTTGAGCCAAGCCCTTAGCCTTTTCCAGTTTTCAAAATTGTAAATGTGCACTTTCTGTACTGATCCTGTCCTTGGCAGCCAGTGTATCCCAGGAAGAACCAGAATTGCTGTGGGTTAGGGTTGCAGCTCAGTGTAGGTAGAGTGTTTACCTAGCATGAGGCCCTGGGCTCAAACAACCCCCACCACCCCACACCCAACATACCCTAAGAAAAAGCTGTTGTCTGTGACGGTTTGGCTCCAGGGAGCGCAAAGTTAAATCACAGTTTAAACTTCACCAAACTTTTGCAGTCTGTGAAAGTAAAGGCAACTCCCATGGGGAAAGAAATAACTAATTTATTTATATGAATTAGAATTTAAAGAAGAGGAACCAAATATAGTAAAAGGGGGGGGGAAGCAGTTGATTAAAAAAACAAAACTCAGGAGAGCAAAGTATGTTTTGCCTGGCTCTGTAACTAAAGAAGCCTGCCAAAATGGTCTGCAAAGGTGTAAGATTCAAGAAACATCTCCAAGTGTTCTACCTTCACTGGAAACCATGCAAGAAATTTCCTAGAGCTGGTCAGGATGGAATTGTGGAAAACATCCCCTGCAGGCCTTCTTTGATTATCCACTGCCAGGCAATGTGCTAAATGAGGGATACAAGATGAATATGGATGACTCTGGTCCTCAAAACTACCCCCCACCACCACTTCCCAAGCAGTGGGAGATACAGCAACTGCTCTGCGTGCTGAAGTGTGGAAGGCACCATGAAATACATAAAAAGAACATAGTGCCACAAAGGAGAGAGTGATCAACTCTGTGTATCTAATAAAAACCACTCACAGCCATCATGTAGCAATGACAAACTTCTAGGGAAAGGTGAAGCTGGATCTGAATTAACACACATATTTGAGTCAAATCACAAGAAAAAAGGATGTAAAGAAGCAATCTCACCGCAGTCCTGAGAAGGGGCTGACCTCCTAAGCGTTCTCCATCTTTAACTTCTAGCTACAAAGCAGAATCCCTGCCGCACATTGCTAAGCAACTCCCTCTGTCCATCCCCCCTATTCTTCCCCCTACCCTCCTCAGGAAATGTCAGGCGAGAAAGGCTCAGTCCAACCTGGGCTCTAATTAAATGTGTGACCTAGAGCGACTCCCATGTCCACCCAGGGCCTTCGTTTCTTCTCCCTGTAAATTGAGGAGACATAGTCAACTCTAACGTCCACTTGTGAAATAGAGGCAAAAAACAAAAAACAAAACAAAACAAAAAACCCCAGAAAGGAAACTCAAGAAATACAAAAGTGAAAGTGCTCGAAGGAAATACAGTAGTAAACAAAAGTACAAATTCTACATCTCAGTGGAAAACGTGGCAGAGTTCCAAATATTTTGTTTATTTTTCAGCAACCATGAACTTGGGAAAGAATGAAATGCTATCACGGCCTCTGTGAATAAGATCGGTAAAACACGAATCCACCTTGCTCTATGGAACGGCCTTCTGAAACAATCCTCTCTGATGCCGAACAACCACTTAACTTAAAATTTTTTTTCCCTAAAGAAATCCATTCATGATGAATGGTCCGTCCCAAAGAACCAACCCTACGAACAGCACACAAGGGTGTGTCCCGCTTTGGATGAGAAGAAAAGGCAGAAGGAAGGGCAGATTGGAACCAATGTTAGATTCTGCCTGGGGTTGTCCCGCTGTTGTAAACCACAGCCTCGAAGCAAACTGTTTTAAAACTTAGGAAATACGGAGGCTTTTAAACATTTCCCCCTGAAGGTAAGAGCGAGACTTCTCTGAAGAAGGTAAGCTAGAGCGCGGGCTCTGGCGCGGCGGGGCGGGGGCTGGAGAAAGGGACCAGCTGACAGTTTCCTCGAGCTTTGGAAGCACGAATGGAGCCAGCCCTGGCGACTGCCACAGCGGGAGGTCGCGATCCGGACTCACCGGGATCACCGGGCTCCCTCGGGTGGGAGGATGCTCCGGGTCCTCCCTTCTTCTTGCAGCATTGAGGGGCGCAAGGGCGCGCACGCGCGCGAACACACACACGCACGCACGCATCCTTCCCCTGGAGTTGTGTCTCGTCTCCCTTTTGTTTTTCTCCCTTCCCGGTCATGAGACCCGGAAGTTTTTTTTTTTTTTTTTAATCGTGTCTCTCTCCCTTTTCCAACCTCCCTCCCCCCCCCAACTATCACATGGCAGAGATAGAATAAAAACAGAAAAATGGCGACGGTCACGTTGTGGCGAGCCTTGCTGCGTCATTAGACAATCCTCATGCAAATAGCGGGAAGAACAAAGGAGGGGGGGCCCGGGACCCCCCAGGGGCGCAGGTGGGTGTGGGGCCGGGCGCAGGGCGGCGGAGCACGCGCGGGGCCGGGCAGCGGCGGGAGCGGCGGCCACGCGGGGATCGGAGAGGCCGTGTGGCCGCCCGAGTGCGCGCAGCGCGCCGCGGTGGAGCGCGGTCTGCTGCACTCCGGGCCCAGTCTGGCGGCGCGCCCCAGCCGGCCCGGGGACGCGGGAAGGCGCGGGGCGAAGAGAGCGGTTCCGGGGAGGTCGGCCGCGGCGCGCGCACCGCACACGCACTCGCACACTCAGCTGCGGGGCCCGGCTCGCTCGGCGGCCGCGAGGGGGACAGGGGGCGGGCCGGCGGCTGGGGCCGAGGGCGCGCCACTGCCTGGAGCCGGGCGCCTGTCTTCCGCGGCCCCAGGGGACCGCACGCAGCTCGCCACCTCGGGGTAGGCAGCGGGGAGCGGGGGCGGTGGCAGTGCCTCTGGGCGGGCCTGGGCTCGGCACTCCGGGACGCACTCCGAGGTGTTGCTGGGCTGGGTTTGTTGTTGTTGGGTGGCGGGCGGCCTCGCCCAGGGGCATTTCCGCGGTTTCCCGGTGACCTGCGCTGGGGTGCGGGGGACAGAGGGAACCCCCCACTCCTACCCCGATCTACTCCCTGGGTTGGGGGGGCGGCGGGGCGGGGCGTGTGTAAATGTTGCGCACTCGCTTTTCCCCACCCCCGTCTTCTTCCAGGGTGCTGGCGTGGGTCCCTCGCCGTCCGGCAGCGACTGTAAATAGAGCCTGGATGTTGTTTACATGAAGGATCCGGCGGGAGGAGTCTGCGAGGAGGAGGAGGAGAATCGAGGAGGAGGGAGGGAGAGAGAGGAAGACCGAAGTCCCCTCGGCGGCGGCGGCGGCGGCGGCGGGCCGGGGTGCGGGCGAGCCCCGCGCGGTGCCTGGGGACCGGCCGCAACCACGAGGCCGGAACGCTGGACCCTGGGGTAGGCGGGAGAATGAGCGCGCGGTAGCGGGGTTTTGGGGGGGGGTCTGTCAGTGGCATTTTTAGCTTGCACCCTGCCGCGCAGATTCTGTCGGGCCAGAAGGGAGGGAGTGTGGAGGGAGGGAGGACCGGGAAGCCTTGGTTTCTCCGCACGTTCGGGAACGCCTCTTCCCTCCCTCCCCCTCCCCCCGACCCCCTTTTCTCTCCCATTCCCAGTCTTTTCCCGCTTCTCCCTGGGCTCACCTGCTTATTTCCATCACCAGAGCTCCAGTTTGTAATATGGGCTTGAAAAGCTGTTTCTTTTATTAGAAATATTATTGGGGAGGGAGTGTGTTGCTGTAACCTATGCGGGTCCAGGTCGGTTTTCAAGAAGAGGGAGGGGACTTGGCAGAGACCCCAGCCTCTGGCCGTAGCTGACCCCGGGACTTCTCCTTGCCTTCCGGGCTAAGAATCATTGCCTCACTCCGCTACCTGAAAGCCAGCTGTCACCTTCCTGGAGAAAGACCACACCTATGCTGCTTCCCGTTTTGGAGGCGCGGTGAGCTAAGAAACCAGGGAATCCCCTGGCCGCCAGGTCTTACCTAAACCCTGAACACCCCGGAATTGGCAGAGAGCGTGTCTTTCACCTGCTGATTGCATTCTCCATGTCTGCCCTTCAACCCCACCCCATCCCCGGAGTTGTGTACTGCAGTTGTGTTGGGGTTTTCTCTTCCCTCATCCCTGTACCCCACCACCAGCAACGAACTGCTGGAAGTAGGTTGAGAGAAAGAGAGGAGACCCCCTTTGATTCAGTGTGTCCTCCACTGCACAGCCGTCTTCTGCTCTTCACCTAAACTTAGCCCAAACCAGGCCTAAGGCGGTCTCTGGCTTTTTTTTTTTCTTTCTTCCCTGGGCCGCACCCTGGCCCCTCTTGGTTCTCCAGCGCCAAACGCCTCCCAACCAGACGGCACACCCTGCCCCAAGTCTAACCATTCCAAAAAAACAGAGGAAGAGAAGGGACTCAAGGGTCGGAATATCTCAACAGAATTTTCCTCTTCCAGCCTCCAAAGCTTATAAACCATGTGTTATTCTTAACCACCTGTCCCTCCCATCCTTTTTGCTCCTGCCCCTGTGGTATTTGGGGAAAGGGATGGTGAAGAAAGATGGGCACCCCTCTTCGGTTGAGTGAAGCATTTTTCTGTTTCATTTATGGGATGTTTAGCATGTAAAATGTGTAAATATATTTGCCCACTATTGGAACTTATTTTCTTCCTGGCTAATGAATAGCTGGAACTCCAAAGGGAAGGAGGGGAGAAAGATGAGAGTTTTGCTAGAGAAGACCCTTCCGTAAAAATCAAGTCTCCCTTCCATGACATCACCACCTAAACCCTTCCAACTTTAGCTGTAGAACAGGAAAAGGCTCAAAATAGAACTACCTTAGGAATCCAGCTCCTTTAAAAGTTGATCTTTTAAATCAGCTGTTGGAGGAACACACTGAACTTTGACACTGGAAGTGAGGAGGCAGAGAAAGCTGTAGGGTTTGTAATTGGTTCCTTTGGGGTAGGGTGTGTGTGTGTGGAATACTTTCCAGGTATTTCAGAAAAGCCTTTCTCAAGATAGACTTGTGTACCTAGACCAATGAATGATGAATAGTTTGGTTTGAGATTCATTGATTGAATTATTCATATGTTTCAGTGTATCAACCATAACAAGCACGATTCAGAATGAATTTAAAGAGGGGATTCTGGAATGTCCTCTACAGTCCACTATAAATGCAGGAGGTTTAGGGGAAAGTAGGAGGAAGATGCTTGAGGAAGGCACAGAATCTGAGTATTCATTGACAGCTGCTATATGTGATTTATAATTGTAACTTCACAGGGTGACTAACATCCTAGACACAAAAGTAAAAATGTCAGGATCCTCCACCTTTAGTTTGGAAATGTACTCCCCTGTCTTTGAATCTCAGTGTCTCCATTCTCTTCCTGAATTGAGATCTGTCTTTCCCTCTTTACCAAGCAACCCTTCCCAAAGTCTGCTTAGTAAAGTAGCATCTTAACTATTGGCAATCTAAGAATTACAGGTGGTATAAGTTGAGCACTTGGTACATACTATACAGAGACCTGCTTGTTCATGGGTAACATCTTTTATCCTGGCTTAGGTTTAAAAGAATTTGGATGACAGAGGCAGGATTGCCTGTACCTGTACTAATAAGGTAGCCCCTAGTCAACCACCTGAAATAAGACCATCAGCCACCTGAAATATAGCTAGAGAAATGAGCTGAATTTTTTATTTTATTTAATTTTTAAAATTCATGCTCTATTCAGTTATTGGAAAAATCTCTGTTTGAAATCACACTTGGGCATACATGTTTAGTTTTATCACTTTCTTTTACCTATCTTTGTCATTTACTTTTTTTTTTTTAAATAGTACCAGAATTTGAATTCAAGGCTTTACACTTGCAGGGCAGGCACTCATTGCTTGAGCCACACCTCTAGCCCATGAGTTTAGTTTTAAAACTATAAATTACATGAAATTTAATAAATGCTTAGTATTTCTATTGAAAATTTAGTATTGGAATTGGGATGAGTTGTAAGTATAAAATAGTCTGTATTTCAAGGACTTAGTACTCAAGGAGAAAGAAAGATGTAAAATAATTCATTAATACTTTACCTATTTTTTAGTTCTTTAAAAACGTGGCTGCTAGAGAATTTAAACTTACATGTGTAACTTGTATTCTTTTAAAAAATGTGATTGACACATAGTAATTGTAGGTGTTTATGGGGTACATTGTGACATTTCAATGTGTATATACAATGTGTTACATTGTACTTCTTTTGAACTGCTCTAGGTACAGCCTCACTCCATTTTGTCTCTGGATTAATTTCAAAAGTGGTCACAGGAAATACTATTATTTTGTGTTTGTCAACTGTCTCCTTTCCACTGTGGTGTCTCACATGAAGATTTGGGGGCCCCAAGACTATTAAAGTATTACTGTTAACTGCCTGTGAGACCTCCTAGTGACTGCTTTGCAGATTCCTGTGCAGGAGCTATGTCTCACTGAAGGAGACATAAAAGTTGAAGGTTCTAGAAGGGCTAGTAGAGGTGTGGAATATTTTGGGTACCCATTTACCTGGCTACAGCTGCTTGTGTCAGAGGCTCCTCGCATACAAAATATATCAGAAAACATTGGGTGGCCTGATAACAATAATGACACCTGTTGGTGTTTTAGCAATGCCAGTCTTCTATTACTCAGCTTCCTTTACTTTCCCTTTTTGTCTTTCCTTCATTTACTTTCTGCTGCTACATTAGGGCTCAACATTGCTGACTCCTTTCCCCTCCAAAAGGACAGTGCTGACGTGACTAGTGATAGTGCTGCCTTTGGAGTTTTGTTTTGTCTAAAGAGATTGAGTAATGGCACTAGAAGGCATTTAAAAGCCTTTGGGTATTATCCCCTCATTTAATAGATAACAAAGTGTCCAATACCTCATAAGGCCCTGCAGAGGCTGGAATTAAACATACAGCTTTTGTTGATAATCTGATTGAGAGGGTCCCCGAAAAACATAGAGGCTCATCAATTAATTCAGTATTTGTGGAGCCCACAGTTTGTAGAAATGACTGATAAATGTTGTGAAGGGACATGAAGAAAACAGCTTCTGGGAAGAGTGTGGTTGACTGGTTATAAGACACAAATTACTGAAGTATACAATGCAACACTTTTTTAATGGGTACAGTGCCACTATGGCCTGTTATCAGTAGAAATGTGTTAATTTCACAGATGCAGGAATTCTATTAGAAGCTGTGAGAATAGTGGACTGTGCAGAAAAGTGGAATGTAATTGTATTTCTGGAATAGCCTAAGATTCTAGACCTGGAGGTCAGTGTAAAGTCTTTAGCTGTCCATTAGGGAATTTGAAAACTACAACCCAGCATTTTTGAATGGCTGTACTGAGGACATCATAGGTTGATAGGATATTAGGGTTTTTTAGAGATGGCTAGTCAAGGGTGATCATTTTGAAACTAACTGGGTTTTTCTTTGTGTGTGGGGGGGTGTTGGAACAAGGTCACACTTTGTGGCCCACATTGGCCTGGAACTGGAGATTCTCCTGCTTCAGCCTCCAGAGTTTTGGGATTACAGGTGTGTACCACCAGACCTAGCTTAAATTACTTTTTGTTCCCCCATTTGTATTAGTAACTGTTTTGTGACGGAAGCTTCTTGGGGTATTTTGTTTTGATTTGTTGTTTTGTTTTGTTTAAGATAGGGTCTTGTTATATAACCCAGGCTGACCTTAACGTGGGAAATTTTTGACAAGTTATTCCAAAAGGGCACAATACAGATATGAACTTAGAATAAAACTGACTTTTGAGCAGACTGTAAAATCTAAAAATCTGGGAAAAAAATTGCAATCCAGAGCAAAATCAGGAAGTAAAATAACTGGAGTAGAAAGAGTAAAAACATTTATGCTGAGTACATGTATGAAGGGGAAAGGCCCATAAAACAGAATATATGAGCCAGCCCAATTATTGGTTAAGTTTTAGTTTCCTGGAGCCATTTCAGACTAAAATCCCAATCAGCATGAGGGAGGATGCTCATCTGTGTTACCGTGTGCAGTGCCTTCAATGAGAGGGTGTTTGCTTGTGTGTGTAACCTGCAAAGGTCACATACATAGCTTGAGACTGCTTAAAGGCCAGCTCTTGAAATGAATAACACAATGACACCCCTTAAAGACCCCAGTTAATGCTGCTCTTGAATATTGGGACTGACTGCATAGGGTGGTTATCCTTGACTCTTTACTTTCTTAACTAATTTCTTTCTCTGTAAAGGAGAAAGATCTGTAGCCCTCTCCAGGTTTCCCGCAAATCTTTGGCACAAGTTAGTTTTTTGAAAAAGTAGAGCAAAGTTTGCAATAACACGCAAGCATACGTGTGTGTGCTTCTGACAAAGTGGAAGTTGACATTTAAGCTTCTTTGCTTATGGTACATTTTTATAACACTACTGCGATTCACATTTTACACTTAAAAATGTGAATATAATGTTTCAGACTTGCAGAAGCTTTAAAAATAACCACATCTTAGCTAAAAGAAGTTTAGTAAGTTTAAATTAACAAACTGAATTGTAGCTTAAATACTATTTTCAGATACTTTGACTAGCAATTTATTTCTTGGCGTCTCCAATTATTTAACATATAATTGATGTTCAAAGATTTTGAGTTATCAGTATGCTCATTATAGATAAGGGGACCTGCGACATGTGGACTGTGCTCCATGTTATCTATAAGCAATTTCTTTAGTATTCCAGTGTTCTACATCTACTTGCTTCTTCTTTTTTTTTTTTTTAATCTTATAAAAAACAGAAATTTATTTCCCATGGTTCTGGGAGGTTAGGAAGTCCAAGATCAAGGAACTGGTTACTTGCCTCTTGAGCTAATGTGGTGCATGCACCATGAAAAAAATTGTCCTTTGTTGTCACTTTTAACAGAACTGAGTTTAAAATCTATTTGACCTCTGAAGGAAAACATTTTGTATCACTCTTTGCTTTCCCCCTCTGGTACTCTGCTGAATACTTTCTTACTATATAGCCTGAGTACCTGTACTCACATGCTTTTTTCATTAAAACAATTTAATTCTTACAAGACCAAATACTGAAAATGTTTCTGGTAGATCTGGTTTTTAGGCAGTTTCTCCTACCATTTGAGCCAGTCCCCCAGCCCTAGATTTTGTTTTTAAAAATAACATATTTGTAACAAAGAAACAAAACTACATCTTTGAAGCATTTATTATTATTTACAAAATTTCATTGGGAAAGCTTGTATTTTTCTTCTGTGAAACTAATTTAGAATTAACCTGAGAGAAAATGAAGTATTCACTGAGTAATGACAATTTTTCTTGTTTTACTTTTTGCTGTTAGAAATGCTTGGCCTTTCCCCCTTAATTTAGATAGAAATTACAAAAGAGAGATAAGTTTATTTTACCAAAATGTTTGGTAGTTGTGTGGTTCATAAAGGTGAACACAGTGAATTTCAGGTTTGCACTTAAAACAAGTTAAGTTCACCTTTATGTTTTCATATGAACATACTACACCATACGACACGAATACAAGGATAGTTATCTCAGGTTATTGAATTGTACCCACACTTGTCTAACATCCAGTCTTTCTGCGTAAGTGAGTGCTGCATCTTTTACAAAGCTGACACTTTGTGGTCAAGAAATGGTAGGTAGTAATACTGTTATCCTTGATGGATTAGCTATCTAAAGTTTTATTTTAAAAACAATCACATTGTCTTTGTTCGCATAACAGATGTTTATAATTTTGGTGAAAATACGCAACTATTTCCAGGAACCTTAGGTTGTATGATCCAACTCCATGTTTTTTCTGTTTTTTTAAATCTCCATGGCCCTCTTGTGTTTCATCTCTGTATTACATCAGCTGGCTAAGACCGAGAGGATGACCTCCTTAACTTTCAGATATTTTTGTACTTTAGAGAATGTTTTTAATTTGTGTGTAGGTGGATTATTTCATTGGATATTACTTTTCTGAAGATAAGGTCGGTTTCATAGTACATTAAGTTAATAGCGAGCTAGGTTCACTGTATTTTCCTATTTTCTAACTTCTGATCTAAAGAATTGATTCATCTATCTGACTTATTTGAAGCACAGTACTAATATCTAGCCTGCATATAATGAGACTTTAAAATGAAACAAATGCCTAATTGAAAACATAATTATCTTTCAAGTATCTGTCAAGTTCTACTCAATGCTTAAATAACTTGAGACCTCATGACTGACATGGAAAAAACCCCAAGTGAATCATGGTTTTACTAAGTTGGTATTCTGATGCCTGAGTTCCAATTTCAGAATCTTTTTGTACCTTTTATTAAAAGTAAGACTCATCCCTGAAATGACTTCAGGGTGTGTCTCAAAGATACAGATAATTTCAAAGAAAGTAATGTATGTTGATTTTTTTTAAAGACATTACAACAATTTTTAATGATTCTTATGCTACCATAACTATATAATTCACAAAAACTACAGTGAAAAACATCCTACAAGTGTGCTAAGTAGTTAGTTCTCACCAGAATCACTAATTGGAGTATATTTGTAGTACTCAGAGCTAGAGCAATGAAAGGAGATTTTTGCTACTTTTGTACATTTCTTAACGTATGAAACTTCACTGGTTTCTGCTTCATGGTCTAAGTTATTAGAAAACTGAAACTCTATACAAAAAGTAGATGTTTTCAGAAATCTCTCTGTACATGATAACTGGGGGTCCATCTGATGCAGTTGGACAGCTAGGTGGAGTAGAGAAAAGAGGTTTGGGGCCCACTCTTTGGACATGGATTTGGACCTAGGTTTGCCGTAAGTTAGTGGTATGATATCAGATAACCCCCTAACCTCTCAGGTTCTTTTTTCTCCCCCCATCTGTAAAATAGGGCAATGATAGCTAACCTGGTTGCGTAACTCTTTTTGGATGAGTTAATGAATAATTCATTGTTAACCCCATAGGGTTCTTGTGAAAATCAAATGAGAAAAAAATGGAATATTATTGAACATAAGGGAGACAAAATATTGTCAAATTTGATTATGAGCACTTTGAACAGGAGCCTTATCTCATTTATCTTCACCACTGAACATCTAGAAAAGGTCTTGAAACTTGAGTCCCTCAATAAATATTTACTGCAAGAATGATGTCAGGGAGATGAATGCAGTCTTTGAAGCTTGCTTCACAGCTTACTGCATGTTAGATGTGTCATCACACGGTTCTTCATCCTCATTAACATGTATAAATCGTGTTCTCCTCTTACTCTTACCGGGATTCAACTGGGTATTTTAATGTTTCAGCCTCACTATTTGCTGGACTCTGACCCTTTTTCTTCTGCCTCCTCTTGTCTCCAAGCAGAAGGGAGCTTTTAGTCCTTCACTTCATGGGGAGCCTTTAGAGGAAGTCATGCAGCTGCCCTAAAGGATGCGCTGACTGATACAGTGACTGACAGGCTGCCCTGGCTCAGTTATCACAGTGCTGATGCTGTCCATTCTAAAGGTACAGTACTGTGATAACTGAAGGATGGCAGCCATCTTGCCTTCCACTTAAAGAGTCTCGTCACATCCAGGAGGAAAGACAGAAGCCAGAAGAGGAACAGGAACCAAGCCCAGACACCCATCACACTGCTCCTGTGTTTACCTCTTCCAGGTCATAGAGGTGATTCCATCTCTCTTTGCCTTGTTTTATAACACCAGAATAAAATAAGGTAGCAGTTTCCATGGCAGTGTGAAGACTGTTGTGCTGAGCAGATATGTATAAGATCTTTGAAACCTTTGAGTCTTTACGTGATTGGTATTAGAGATGTACTAAGTATGAATTAGTATGTCTGAAGTGGTATTCAAAGAAACTTGTACCACTGTATAAAGGTGAAAGGTACCAGATGAGGCTAGCCTGGCATTTGTCACTACTCTATTGGTTGTTCAGAATTTAATTAAAATGGAGAATAAAAGCCCTATAGGTTCAACAATGTTGATACTATTGCATGAATAAAAATTATTTGTGTGTAAGGAATGGATAGTAACAAGTCACATTTCTTTCAAGATGCTTAGAATCTAGTCTAATTTGATTGATTGGTGGATTGATTGGAGGGATTGGGGTCTCAGGACTTCGTCCTTGCAAAGCAGGCGCTCTGTCTCTTGAGCCACACCTCCAGTCCATTTTGCTGTGGTTATATTAGAGATGGGGTCTCGAGAACTATTTGCCTAGACTGACCTTGAATCTCTATCCTGATCTCAGCCTTCCAAGTAACTAGGATTACAGGCACCTGGCTTAGAAGCTAGTCTAAATTTAAAATATGTATTGAATATGTATGTAACTGCTATTGTTGCCACCTTTACATGAAAATAAAATGTGAATTATTTCTATCAAGTAAATAAGGACCACTCTGCAATGATACCTGGCACAAATTGCTTTCAGGGCTATGAAACTTTAAATACCAAGTCAGCATCACATTTGCATGGAAGAGAGGAAATTTAACAGAGTACACATCTTCAGCCTGCATCCTATTCTAGAGAGTATTATTGGGCTGGACAGTAGGGTAATTAGAGAAGCCAGGATTTTTTTGTCCCTTTGCTATCTCTCTTCCCTACAGATACATGGTGCAAACAAGTATGAGTTCGTGACTATGTTGGACCACAGTCCACTGCAAGGTCCAGGTAATTGCACGTAATGTATATTTTAGGTTCAGGCCTACACAGGGACTGTTAACCTCTTCCTAGGCTCATGTCTACTTGTAAACCTCACCTCCCTGTTAATGGCTGACCGGTAAAGGAGCTAGTGCAATGACCCATATGCTTAGGTCTGCTGAGGTCAGGCCCTATTTGAACCTACCTGCAACAGGGACACACGAGGGTCAGGGAGGTCAAACATTTGTGGTCTTTTAACGTACACAGATCCTTACCCACTAGTTCACATCATCCACTCACTGTCTTAGTTGCAGGCCAGTTCTGTTACCCATTCCTTCATGAGGGCAGAATGAGGAAGAAAGGTAACTAGAAGGGAGTTGTCACTGTTCCTTTGCACAGTTACAGTCTCCAACTTCTTTCTCTTCTCCCAAACAGGAGCCACCCCTAGCAATCATCATCTCTTGGGCCATGGGTTCTTGATCTGAGCTGCTGTTTTCCAAACATACCACATTACAGCTGAATACTGTCACGTGTCCTCACACATTCAAAATTTCTCTAAATCATAAGCTAGATTAGAGATTTGGTTTTTTGGGTTTTTGACAGTACTGGGCTTTGAATTCAGGGCCTTATGCTTACTAGGCAGGTGCTCTACCACTTGAACCACATCCCCAGGCTTTAGACTGTTGTTGAAGAATTATAGGAAGACTCAGCCCAGTTGTGCCACTCCCAGAATTCCTTAGAATTTTCTCTCTTAAAACAGAAAAGGAATTTCTGGCAGAAACCTTGGAAGAATTCTGAAGAGAAAGTTCTGAGATTGGTGAGTCCTCAAGAAATTTGAAACACTCCTAATTTTTAGTATTGTAGCAGGTAGAAAAAAATGCTTGAAGGAGTAATTTGTTGTGCAATTGTTGGCCTGAGTGAGGATTTCACCACCTTCCTTGATCTTCCTTGTTCTCCCTGTTACTAGTTTTATAAAATAAATTCGTCAGGTTTTGTACTTATCCACCCTTGACCTCAGAATCCACATCCTTGCCTGAGGGACATTGCAGAGCTGAGTGTTGGTTGTCATTTGGGATCACCCATGTCCTTTTACACAGACAAGCCAGATTGGACTCAGCTTCCTGTAAATGGGAGAAATGGGGCCGGAGCTCCAGAAGCTCAGAGTCCTGGAGGGCTCCGACATCTGTCAGACAGTTCAAGGATATAAGGCAGGTGTTTAACAGGTTGAGAAGTGACACAGGATGGGGCTTTTCCACTGCCTTTTACTTTGTGTTTGGTTGGTGTAGTCATTGTATTTTTCAATCTGTAAGAATGGGAAGAATGGTCATTAGCATGGAGGTCCCATATGACCTAGCAATTCCACTTCTGGGTATATATACCCAAAAACATGAAGCGACTCTGGCCAATATTTGTACACCGATGTTCATAGTGGCATTATTCACTTTAGCCCAGAGGTAGAAGTCACCCAAATGTCTACGGATGGATGTCTGTACAAACAGAATGTGGGTGTACGTACCATGGAATATTGTTCATCTTTAAAAAAGGAAGGAAATTAGGACATTCTACAACATAGGTGAGCCTTGAAATGTACGTTAAGTGAAACAAGCCAGACATGATTGGACAACTGCTGTATGACTCACTCAGGAGGCTCTTGTGTTAATATTCATAAACCCAGAAAGAAAGATTGTTGCCAGGAGCTAGAGGGAAGAGGGAATGGAAAGTTAGTGTTTAATGAATAGTTTTATTTGGGAAAGATGAAAAGTTCTGGAGATGGATAGTGATGATTGCACAGCAATGTGAATGTACTTAATGTCTGTCCATAGAACTGTACCTACAAATGGTAAATTTTACATATATTTTATCACAAAAAAAATTTAGGAGAGAAACATTGTCGGATCCAACATGATTTCATTGATTTTCTCTCTCCCTGGAATAGTTTTCAGTGTGAAGATAGCTGTTATTTTAAGTAAGCAATTAAAATATAATTGCCATGTCTTTGTGCATTTGAAGTTCTCTAATCTGTAGACTCTTAGACATATTTCCAGAGGTTCTGACATAGGATAGCTTCAATTTTGTAAAATATAAAGAAAATCAAATGCAATAATGAGAGTACTGAAAACAAAATGAGAAAAGACCAGGACAAAAGTCTGCCTGCGTGGCTTTTCTTGCTGGATTCATGGCTTTCCAGTGAAATTGGGCACTGTCTGTGCAGTTGCTTCATCTGTCCACCTCTTTGCAGTTGCAGTAAAGATGAAATTAATATTTTATACAAAGTGTTTCTATATGTAAAAACAACCAAAGCAGCACCCAAAAGTGGATTTTAGCAATCAAAGACTTTTAACAAATACCCTAATTTGTCCTGCAACTCAAGTATCACTAACTTCATTAAAGGACCACTCTGTAATTTTGTCTCAATCATAAATGTTTTTCTTACTTGTTATATGTTTAATTTTGAAAATAAGAATAAAATCATAGGGACTGGAAAAGTAAAAGTAAAAGACTACACACACTTTCGTAGTCATAGGTGGGAAGCATTCATTTGCAGACCGTATCTGCTTCATCACGAAGCTCTCATTTGAGGTTTGCACTCTGGAAATCAGATTGTAGTCATAGAAGCATTGGACTTCCCCACCATGTAGAACCCATGGAGTATTCTATGTTGGTTGTACCACATAGGTAGAGTAGACTGCTAATTCTTGTTAGCTTGCTTCTGCTGTGCCTAGGACATTTGTAGTTCTTCTGAACAGATGATCGTATTATGTGTCAAACTGTCTGTATCATTATTTCTTCCAAATGAGTTCTTCTTGAAGGCAGCAAGAAGAACTGCTAATGTATTTCTGGGCTTAATGTAGTTGATTCCTTTCTAAAAACTGCTTTCTTAAAACTGAATTTATATTTACATCATCAATCCTCTTCAGACATAGTTCATACTAACCATTACCAGTCAAATTCATCTTTTACCACACAAATCATTAACATTTGTCTTTTTTCCTCACATCTACCTCATGAACATTGTAAGGATTCTAGATGAAAGAGACTGCCAGGTACAAGAATGTGTGCCTGGAACATTCTTGGCTGGGTTCTTTTACTTTGTTTTTATTGTTTATTTATTTTTGCAGTACTGGGGCTTGAACTCAAGACCTCCACCTTGAGTCACTCCACCAGCCCTATTTTTGTGAAGGGTTTTTCAAGATAGGGTCTCACCAACTTTTTGCCCAGACTGACTTTAAACCACTATCATCCTGATCTCTGCCTCCTGAGTAGCTAGGATTTACAGGCGTGAGCCACCCTTACCCTGCTACTTTGTTTTTATTTTTTTGCCAATAAAGATAATTTTTATGAGGCTGCACAGTGCCATTGTGTTACAAGGTACGGTGCCACTATCACCACCTTGCCCACGTGGGCAATTACTGAGCAATTATTAATGATGAGGCCATTACTGTACTTACACAGATTATTTTGACTCATTAGAACATTCCTACATCGTTGGTGTCGTATCCTTTTTTCTAGTTGTGGGCAATGAGACTGAGTGGCTATTAACTTGCCCAGTTCACATTTCTAGTAAGTGTCTATATTGGTATTTAAGTCCATGAATACAGATCATAAGGATTAATTTTTATTTTACCACAGCAGCATACCTTACCATTTTAGTCATTTAAATGTAAAATTCAGTGTCACTTAATACATCAGTGTTGTACAACCATCACCAATATATAGTTGGCAGATTTATCATCCAAAAGGAAACTAGCCATTAAGCAATCACTACCCATTACTGGATTCTTTTGGGTTGAAATGTATGCCTCGAATGTAAAATAGGTTAAAATGGAATCCTGAAATAGAATAAAGTAAGCTGGTTATATCTTGCCCCGTGCATTTGGACTGTTACAGTAGACTGAGGAGCAGGGCTTCAT